TCAAACAGAAAGAAAAAGGTATCCGTTGCTCAGGGTTAGAGGAGAGCTGGGTTCGTAGGTAAGGCTTGTGACCTGTGGTGACTTAATAATGTTGTTAAATAATAAAATAAAAGTAATAATGTATAGGCTGCAAAGATTCTAAAATTGATGTTAAGTATTCAAATAGTAATGGTCAAAGACAGTAAAAAGGGCGCCACTTACTTTGGGTATGAAAAGGTAAAGTAAGAAACCAGTAAGAAAATTTGATCATGAAATAGCTAAAATAAAATAATCAACAGCAATAAGGGTCTATTATGTTCATCAAGATAAAAGTCAGATATAACTATCCTACGTTGAACATTTATTTAAAAACGAACACAATTATCAATCAGTTTAAACCCAGTTTCAATTATCCCAATGAAATCGTTAGTTGCTTTAAGTAAACTCAAATTTAGTTAAAGTTCTCTTCAGTATACTATACTACGTAATATATAAACAGGTGAAATTTATGTAAGTACCAATACGATGATGTTTCGAAACAAATCGTGTACAATAACCTTCAAAAATGAATCCGTGTTAGCGATTCTCACATAAAAGATCATACTGAAGTAAAACGTACCGTTAAGGACAAAGCATGACTTATAATGTTAACTAAAAGGTAAATTTTGACTATAATATATGGAATAAATGACAACAATTTACAGAGATATTCAAAATATTATCTCAAAGTAAAAAAAATTTAGGGAATACCTTGTGTGTTGAACTTAGAACTTATCTGTATTTTTTTTTTAATTTATGACGTAGTGAACAGATAGGCAGGCAGTCTCCAGACTAACGGAAGTGGATGTAGACTCTTCGATAGTAGCAGGAGTCTTCGATATCAGTAGAATAAATGTAGAGTCATAAATACTGTCTCAAAAGTGGTCACTCATATGCCAATTACTTATACGCCAGTTACTCTATAAAAAAACTCTCAGAACAGTCACCGAATACCAAAAAAAAACAACTTACGGTCTGAAAATCAGCTGTACACATTCCAAAATATAGCCAAACCATATGCTGATCCAAACCAGTAATGCACAATCAAACATTATCAAAATAAATAAAAAACGGGAATAACTGAAATAAAATTTAGTTAGACATGGCGATACAAAATGGTAGATACACTTACTGTGATCTTATTCCAGGAAAAGGCCAAAAAAACACGAACTAGGCTCTGAACAGTATATTCTACAGGATTTCAAATCTCCACCTTTGGATACCCGTGCCTTTACTGTTAGGAAGTGTTTCAGAAAGCCCTTTTTCTCTGAGATTCGTCGGACGCTGAACCACGCGTCTTTTTCTGATCTCAATCTCTCGGAAAAAGCCTCCTTTTCGCAAAACGGAAGTCTTCGAATTGACAGGTCATATGACCAAAGGCAATTAAGTGAACTCTATCGTCTATACTGAATGAAATTTGTTTTTATGGAAAGGAACCACTACCTGTACTGAATGAAGTTTAACATCTAGCGAATAGATGGCGCCAGCAATATTAAAATTTGGAATTTTATAAAAAGAAAAATAAAACGCTACATTACAATTTGGAACGAAACCTATAGACAGTTGATTATTTTTTTTTTCAATAGCCTCAATTCACAAATTAATTCCATCAAATTTACGATTCAGAAAGAAAAAACTTCTTTTTGCCCTTTATGGATGTTCTTAGGAGAAATAGCACCTCTGTATATTGTATAAGAGGGGGGAAGTTAATCACCGCGACCTTATAGATCTATTGTATCCTACTTTCTTGAACTCGTCATACAGTCTCAGGGCTTTGCCAAAAGCCAGTATCTGAGGCGGTTTTGCAGAGGTTTGTTCTCCATCTCTGACATCAGTTGTACCAAAGTTTATGGCACGAATGGTTGTCGCCTCGAAGCACTCAGTGATGAGGTGTTCTGGTGTTTCCCCATTTTCTCCACAGGATCTCCAGTCGCCATTGTTCCTTAGCTTCAGTCTACTGAGGTGTTCATTGAAGAGACAGTGTCCCATTAAAAACCTCGTGACAATTCGAAGATTATTCTTAGCTAAATCAAGGAAAAATTTTGATTTTTCTCGGTTGTAAGTTCTGAGAAATTTCTTTGAGTGTCTTAGACCGTTGAAGGATTTCCAGGTTATGGATGGAGTTTCCAGATTGTTGAGTTCCGATTTAAGTTAATTCAATTTGGAAAACAGAACGGTTTTAGTCTAGTTAGTGGAGTGGTCGCTCCTTTTCTAGCTAGATCGTGTGCTTATTCATTACCTTCTCTCCCTTGGTGGACTGGAACCCAGAGTAGGATGACTTTATTGTCTTTGCCTAATTTGTTCAGTTTCTCTAAGCATTTCTTGACGTTCAGCCTTAGTAAGCGTATAAAATGTGGTCGATCCAGACAAAGCGCGTCCACCCTGTATGCATATTATTGGTCGTCTTAATCGAATTCAGTCATCGATATCTTCGATGGCATCGATAACGATTAATTGGCTGCCGATTACCCAGCGTTATTGAGATTGGAGCGATCGGCCATCGGCCATTATACTTTTATAGGCTGAGCTTTAACGATCTTATTTAGTCAGTGATAGTGCTGTTTTTGTCGATGGTCATGAGGCTTTGTTGCCGACGCAGCGGGCGATCGGGATGCTTTTGGTCCTGGGGTACTACCAGAAATAATACATCGGTGGTTCGGATACTAAATACTCTTAGTATAACATGATCAAGATTAACTGTAAATTTCTATAAAGTGAAATACGGCTGGGGAATCACAATCAATGATAATTTTGGCGCAAATTTTCATTAAACTTGTCACAAATTAACACTCATTATAGAAAGATTAAAACAAGATAGAACGTTTCAAGACACACTAATATATTTCCAAAAAAATATTTTTTGTCGAATTTTAAACAACACCATTTAAAATTCATTTTTAGTAAAAATAAAACACAACCTTTTTAAGATCAACTGACAGTAAGCGTCATTAAAAAATAAAGTAGACTACGGGCCAAGTAAATGGTGTCTAGGGCTTGACCTCGCCAAAATCATCATCGATTGTCATTCTCCAGCCGTCTTTGACGCCTTTTTTTCAATCGTTTATGGTATTTTCTCTGTTTGGCTAAAATTTACACTAGCTTAATGTCTATATCTTTGTAACGGGTTCAGTTCTTAAAAAGAAGTCTGTTTTTTTCGCTACTGGAAGAAGATTCTACAAAATAAATAAGTTATTTTTTGTAAACACCACTGGGCGTTGAATCCAAACGAAAACCTTGTCAGTGGTATTTTACCAGTAAATCAAATTTGCCTAAGCGGCAAATATTCTTCAATAAGTTTCAAGAGGATATTTCCTTTTGTCGTCAGAATCAAGAAAAATCACAAAGAAAAACTATTTAAATTATTTAAATACATCTATTGAATATTTTAGTTTATATCAGATACGTCAAATAAAATGACATATTGAAACTTTTTTCTCCTGAAATAATTCTTCAATCAATCAATAATCAATCACAAACTAGTAGGAGCAGTCCGAAATTGGTAGACGGATTTGCCAAAAAAGAGTTGTTAGAGATAAATCAGAAACAAGTCAGAGAGCAGTCAGAAAACTATTAGGAATCAGTTCTGGCTATTCTGGGTTAATTCGCAAACATGCCAGATATAAGTAAAAAATCTGTCAGCTTAATTCTCCGAAATAATTCTTCAATCAATCAATAATCAATCACAAACTAGTTAGAATCAGTCCGAAACTGGAAGGCGTATTTGCCAAAAAGAAGTTATCAGGGATTAGTTAGAAACCAGTCAGAGATCAGTCAGAAACCAGTTAGTCAGTCATAAACTAGTCAGGAATCGGTTGAAAATCAGTCGGCAACCAGCCAGAAACCGCTCATTGATCATTCAGAAAACTTTTAGGAATCAGTTCTGATCCCTGCTGGTCATCAATCAGTCAGGGTTATTTTGCAAACATGCCAGACCTAAGGCAAAAAGCTGTTAATAACCGGTCAAGAAACTAGAAATCGGTCAAATACCAGTAAGAAATAAATGAGGAATCAAGCAGTAATCAGAAATCAGTTGCAATTATTAACATCTCTAGTGACATTGTGTGACTGGGATTATAGCGAAATTACTATCCATTAGGGTAGATTGACTGCGAACTAATGTCAAAACCTTAAAAACTCATTTTAATATATATTTTCATAATTTTTCTGCATATGATTCACATTATTTATTTTCTTTAGTATTATTTTTGTTTTCGTACGGTACCACAACTTATAGTTTCTTGAAAATTGATATTTTGCCAGCCAAAGAGGAATCTAAAAATTAAAAAAGTATTTTTTTTTTGTAGACACTACTGCATTGAATCCAAACCGAAACTAACTTGTCAGTGGTTCTTTACTCGTAAAATAAATTTGCCTAAGCGACATTAAATGCCTAACGTTTCAGGAGTTATCTCCTCCCATCATCAGAAGCTAAAAAGAAATAAAACCTATCCTTACCAGTATTTATACAACCTGGTTAACCTGTTTTTTTCAACAAAATACGGCCTTAATTTTTGCTTTTAAGACTTTAAAACCAGCAAATACCATACGATCGAAAGTTGGGTAATCACAACCGATGATAATTTTGGAGAGGTCAAGCCCTAGATGTCATTTACCTGGCCCATACTCTCCTTTATTTTTTAATGGCTACCTATTGGCCTTTAGAAGGTAATTTATTTTTATATTGAGTAAAAGTTGTTTTAAATGGTGTGATTTAAAAATTCCACAAAAACAATTTTCTGGAAATAGATTTAATCTTTCCATACTTAGTGTTAATTTTTTGACAAGTTTGACGTCTAGATATTGACCTCGCCAAAATTATCATCAATTGTCATTCTCCAGTTGTCTTTGACACCGTTTTATTTCGATCATACGGTACTAACTTCATTATCATTTAGTTTCATTTATCTTTAATAATAAAAAACCTGATTTGATTCAAACTTGTTTTTTGGCAGACAATGTTTCAACTTTTCTTTTTGTTCCAGGTGTGGTTCCAGAACCGTCGAGCCAAATGGCGCAAACAGGAGAAAGTCGGACCCCAAGGCCACCCATACACACCCTACCTGAACCAGTCCACCAGCGCACCCTCGCCTTCTGTAGTACCACCCTCACTACCCAACCCTTTCAACCTACCCTTCGGCCTACGCAAACCATTCGACCCCTTAACCTTCCGCTACCCGCCGCACGTCCTTCCCGGGTACTTACCAACGCCACCGTCGTACCACCGTACTGGACATCACCTTCTACCACCTTCCGTAGGGCTGTACCCTTCGGCAAGTTCCTTCCAGACGCTGCTGGCTAATATATCGGCTGCGCAGAGACCTAAACAGGAGTTCACCGCCTCGCCGCCGTTGTCACCTGGTGGTGCTGCTAGCACTGTCACGCCACCTGACGTTGACAGGAGGAGTTCGAGTATAGCCTCGTTACGGTTGAAGGCGAGGGAGCACGAGATGAGGCTAGAAATGTTGAGGCAAAGTGGAGATTTGATTAGTTAGAGTGAAAGAATGTTCTAATCCTAAAATCCTATTAAGCAAATTTGAAGATTTAATTTATCAAGTAAAAACAAGTTTTTTGTATAACTTAAGTTTCATTCAGAAGTCATTCAGAATGTCTCTAATTTCAACATAAGCATTCAGAACTTCAAAATTAGTGGTAGTACTTTTCAATTAAAAGAAAAAAATCTGAATTAAATCTGAAATTTGAATGAGACATGTAACCTATAAAATATTGTGGCCTTTAGAATATTAAACTGGAAAATTGGATAATAAATGTTTACATTATTTTTAGAAAATTGACATAAATATGCCTCTTTTATGATTGTTTTACTCGTATAAATAGAAAAAAGAATTTAGAATTGTTAAATTTTTATAAAATGTAGATATGTAGAGCTAGTTAATTGTGTACTTAAAAATTTACACTGAAGATCGAAAAACCTTATTAAAATTATAATAATATACCGGGTGCGTCTTGGAAGTGGGTCACTTCTATAACTTTTTTATTTTTCCAGATAAAAAACGAGATTTGGTTTGTTACGTAGAAAACGACACTCTGAATAGAATAACATATCATATGTCAACTTTTGACATTTTCGCTTTAAAACAAATTGTATTTTAAATTTCAATCTAGAGTGCTATGGCTGAGTTAAAACCACTAATTTTTAATCAAGGAACCTTGAAAAAATAGTTTTGATCGTCTAATGTCGTCTCTTGTCCTGGGCGGTTATAAGATGCCCAAATCGTATTTTTAATTATATCTCAATTTTTTCAAATAGAACAAGGGTGGCTCATTAGCATATTTGGAAAATGTATTTTTTCACGAATAATTTGGTACCACACACTTGGTATTTCGAGTCAAATTGTCGTTATGAACTTGGAAAGTATGTTACAATTTCAAATAGACCAATGCGAAAATGTCAATAGTTGACATATGATATGTCATTCTATTCAAAGTGTTATTTCCTATCGAATAAAATAGAAATATACCGAGGGTGCAATTTAAAAATCAAGTTGTAGTCATTTTCTGTGAAACAGGAAGTGACCAAAATCAATTGAATACGTCAATCAATCTTAATTTATGTCATATATGTACAAACACAACAAATCTCGTATTTTTATCTGAAAAAATAAAAACGTTATGGAGGAGAGCCACTTTTGAGACGCACCCGGTAGATTCATTACCTCTGTGCATTTTTGGCTAAAAAGCCTTAAGGCGGGTTCTCACATATCAGCATCACCGAAGCCGTATGACTGATGCACTGTTACTGAACGAATAATGAAGCTGAAAACACGTTTTTAGTGAAACTGATCAGTATATTCATAATTTCAATAAAAGTGAAATCTAGTTCTACTTTTGTTCGCTTTTTACTGAACAATGAATACAAACTGAAATATGAGGGAATATTAATTATAATTACTAATTTTAAAGATATATTGACAGAATTGGTTTCCAAAACCAATTCTTTCAATATACTTTTACTAGCACCCCATTTATTTTTGCGTGTGGTCCACTGCCATCCATACCATCTACGACATTTTCGTCGTTTTCAGAATATTTCGTAACTCGTATTCTAATGGTAAACATACTTACTCCTCGGAAAACTGATTGTAACTTTGTAGAATTTGTATGTTTCACCAACAAAATATGTCTAGACCACCCGAATGTATTCAACTAGCCGAAAATGAAACGTATGGACACAAGCGCCGTTTCCCTATCACTGGATCAGTCAGACTGCTTCAGTGAGACTGACAGCTGAGAACCCGCTATGTTGTAACTAAGTCCGTCCATTATATTAAGCATTACTAAAAATTATTTCATAAGAACGAATAGAACTTGTGATAAACATAATTTAATATTTAATCCTTAAAAAATATTGTTTTAGTGGTTATTTAATAAATATAAAAATTTAAGTGTTTTACAAGTTTGAGAGATACTCAAACGTATAGAATTGTATATATTAAGAAATTTACATTAAGTAGTTTTACATTACCACCGCAGACATTTTTATTATAATATTATAGATTCTATTTTAAGTTTTGTATAATTGTAGATTTAAGAATGATTATTAGCAATATTTTTTTTTATTTTTAAGTTTTCTATATTATATCATTCGGCAAATTTTGTCGTTAAGTATTATTTTTACTTGATAACCTTGTAAATATATTTTTTATATATAAAGAAGGATGAATAAGTATAGCTAATGTATTAGGGTCGATCCACACTATACACGGTTCGTTCGTTCGATCCGATCTGTGATCGGCATTGTAGTGTGAGCCAGCCCTTATTGTAGATGTAGCATACTTGATTTGTCGTTCAAAAATTGCAATATTTATTTCATACGTCATCTGAAAACAAATCCGTCCAATACGTACTTTATAAAAAAAACTGAAAATAAAAGCATATAATATATAAAAAATGTGTTTTATTTACCATACTACTGTTTGAATAACCGTATGATCGAAAAAAATAACGGAGTCAAAGCGGCACCAGCGAAATAACAAGGCCGACAGCTTATTCGTGACGTCATCAACTGGAGGCCTAAACTTTGATTGTATTTAATACTCTTTATACTTATATAATGGATATAAACTTTAATTGCACCGAATTTTTAATAAATAATTAAACATGAAATTAAAAAAAAATATCAGACTGATATCCCATCTCACCTCATTATTCATCGTTATTGTATTTATTTATGCTGTAAGAGCATCTAACTTTCTTTTATTTCCTTTTCCAAGTCTATCATTTTTTTTACCACAGTAGTTTTTCAAAAGTGTATTTGTTATAGAATTTATGACAATTTTCACAATAACTTCAACATTATGAATAGTACATTGCGAAAAGTGCAATAATGACTTGTGTAATCACGTTAGAGTTTTTGACAAAAGCGGATGCAGAACAGCTGTGGCCTACTATATACATTTATTAGAAACAAATAAAGAAAATCAATGAATATCTTAAAACAAATATAAATTAGTAAAAACCAACCAACCCCACCAAATAATCAACTAACCAATGAATTAACACCCTCCAAATAACCACGCTAACCAAAGCTTAATAATTGCCTTGCTGGGGCTAGACACTTCTGAATAATGTGTTATTCCTTTTAATGTAATCCAAAGTTATTTTTGATAAAAATATTTTTTATTGTGAATTCTGAGAAACTTTTCTTCATGACTTTTCAAACCTTTGTTAAAAATTATGTATTCAAATAAAACGATATTAGTTATTTCATCTTTTGGAAACCTAAGAGTGCCTTTATACTAGTAAGGTTTTTTATAAGTGAATTTTGTTCAATATCAATGTCGTCTGAAAATGTTAAATTATTCTTACATGTATCGTATATAATTTTCTTTAAGACATATAACAGCAATATCCTCCTAAATAAGCAATAACTGGCATTTGTTCCTTCACACTTTCGATATCTTGTTCAGAAATAGTAATGTCGATGTTAAACCAATCTGATTCGATGGTATTGGTATCGCGTGGTATAGGTATTGCGTGGTAAACAAGGTATTGTCATCTTCATAAAAAGAATCAATTTTTATAGAACCAAAACAAGTAGATTTTAATGACATTAATGACTGAATCCTAAATTTCTTTTCGCCTTCATATAATTGTCTAACAGAAATACTGTACTGACTCCCAGCTAACTGTCTATATTTTCCAAACCTACTTTCAAGAGGATCAGTTTGAAATTTCCCTAGTAAAACATACCTCATATTTAACTCATTAAAACAATATTTTATTACTTCAAGCATGCCATAAATTGTATGATGGACGGCACACAGTGGAACGAGCTTATGGGAGCGGTTGGACATGAGGTTTTTTACATGACACTTTCAATCTGGAAAACTTAAAATTATTTTTATATACTGTTTATATTATGTAAAGAGGGACGTCTTAAATTATAACAAAAAATTGTTGCCTTACATAACTTAAACCATATATAGGGCGCCCCAAAAATATAGTGTGTTTTACCAAAACCAATTTTTTTAAAGCCCATAACTTTGCTTCATTGTTATCAATTTTTTTTTCGTTTTGGGATTTTTTGGAGAGGAGGGTTTTATTAGAAAAAATATTTTTAATAGATTAATAATTTATTATATAGTGTGGTCAACAAAAATGAGCCTTTGAAAATTGCATAATTATTGTATTTTAATAAACGCGGTTTTAGATAAAGTTAATGTTTTCTGGATAAAATAATGTTAAAAAATAATGGTTTAGCATGTTTTTCGTTTCGTTTTTGAACATTTCAGCCAAGTGATAACCATATTAAATTACTGCATATTTGAAAATTATTTGAACGACTCAACGACTAGCATTATTTGTTAATGTCAGGGTAAATGTCAAATAAGGCGTGCGGGAAAGTATCACTTTAGTAGGAAATTTTTTTTTAGTAGAAAAATTTTAGTTATGGTCTACTATATGCCGCTATTCTTTTTATGGTACCTTGCGGCACTTACTTCATATTTCTTGATGATTAGATCTGTAATAAAAATTCAAAACTTTTTAATTCAAAAATATATAGTGGGTGATTGATGAGATGTATGTACAAAATTTTGGCAAAAATTCATTAACAAAGAACGAGTTAAATTAAAAAAATAATATTTTTTGAAAAACCTACCACAGCTTGGGCAATAAAAAAATCAAATTGTGGTAATATTTTCAACATGAATTAGCCTTTTTGAAAACTGTTAATTTTAAACCTTTGTAAAAACGACAAAATACATTTTTGTTTTCTAAAAATCAGTTTTTAAGAGAGGCCTCACATTTGTTTTTGAAACTACCATATTCAGTTTTCCATTTTCCCAAAAAAAAATTTAACCCCATGTTTGTTGCAGTTTTGTTGCATTTAACATGGACTCGTTCCATTGTGCGGCGGTATAAGTATGTGACGTTAATTTTTTAGGCATTTTTGTGAACTTTTCCAAATTTCCAACCAATTTGACATATTTTGCAAAAAAGCTATTTTTGAATCACCTAAATTGTAAGAATTGACAGTCATTGGTTCTTGATACACATCGTTGAGACGTTTACTTTTTAATGGAGTTTTTACGTTTACTATTTTCCACCAAGTTAATATGATATTGAGAAAACAGGCTGTATCTAGAGAGTACTTAATATTTGTATCAAATCTCAAGAGAGCCTGAATAACAAAAGGATTAAAAACTTTCAATGCTAACTGCACGTTTTGTTTTTCAAAATTGGTAGGAAATAACGATTTTAAAGTTAAAGAATAGCCGTGTTTTAGTATTTTCTCGTTTTCGGTATTATGAAGTGATATTAAACTTTGAAAAGAAGCATATTTCGCTGGTGCCTGTCAAAGACGGTTGGAGAACGACAATCGATGATAATTTTAGCGAGGTCATTCTCTAGACGTCATTTACTGGGCCCATACTCTATTTTAAATTTAATGGCAACTTTTAAGACAATTAAATTGTGCGTCTGATTCTCGGAAAATATACAGGGTGTTCC